CAATAAATTCATTTCTGACCATTTATAGTATTTTTTTCTTATTCATTCCGAAAACTTATAGTGCGCCACACGTAGTCTTAAATATTTTATAATTTTAATGGGAATTTAATTATCGTTTTCTTAGATATGTGTTTCTTCATTTTTAGTGTCCTCTTAGTGCTGAACATCAGCTAGGCTTACATATTTGCCCTCTAAAGCTGAATTTTAGACTGTAACTTTGGTTTTTTTATTGTGATTGTAATAGTAGTAGTGTAGTAGTATGTTTCAAACATTAATTTGAATTAAATTAAATACTAATAAATTTGTTCTGTTTCTAATTCCTGTTTAAATAGAATACGTAATTAACGATTCTAATCTATTTCTAAATTAACTCAATTTACAAAGGAAATAAATATACATGCATATCTATCATATATATCTATCCATCTGGATTCATATGGAACTCTGAAAATTACTCTACTTACATAACATAATTTCAGGAAGAAACCTCACTGGCGTTAGAATCTCCAGGGGTTCAGGTAGACGAGCCTTCTTCCTCGAAGGTGGTCAAATAGGAGCCGACTGGCTCTCTCCTACAGTCCTGACGTACTTCATTAACGAGCTGGTTCAAAGCCAGAATCCAGAAGCCAGGGCTGCATCAAATGATTTTGACTGGCATATTTTCCCAATTGTTAACCCTGATGGACATGAATTCTCTCAGAAGTCTGTAAGTGAATCTTTTAGCGACGCTTGTTACTAGTTAATTATGTAGATGAATGGATATTGCTAATACACGATTGTATCATGAAGGTCATATTCTAGCCAATATCCGGAATCTGTTAAATAATGTAACACATGACTAGGATTGAAAGAACCAATACGATTTTGTTATTATAACATCTCAGTAACCGAATGGGGTAGACATTTCCGCTATTCTTCGCTTTGGTGAATAATGGATTTTGCAATAAATCCTTTACATAAAGCGTTTTGACAGTAACGTTGCTTTTCTTAAATTTAGTAGATTGAAAATGTTCTTGACATTTTTATGTTTGCACATTGATTGATAAAAAAGTCTATTTCAGACAAAGGGTCACAAGTGTTAGTAAACAAAAATAACATTAAAAATCTTGAAGTAATAAGTGTTAGGATAATATAGAAATGCAAATGAAGATCAAAACATATAAAAACAGAAAATTCATATTCATGTATATAGTTATTAGATAACGTGCACTGTCATCCACCTAACTAACATTGGGCTGCCCCAGTAGTTTGCAAACATGCTCAGGCTGCGGTTGGGGCTGGTGCGCGGACGGGTCTCCAGCGAAGCGTACCTCTTCTTCATCACGACCGCATAATATATTATTTAAATATTCATTTTATGACTGAGTTCCTAGCACAAACTGGGAAAAATATAATAATGTATAAACTGAACATATGTTCGCCGAACATTAAGAAACATCTCGATTGAATTATGACGATGCCACAGATAGACATAGAGACAAATACACAGAGAAAGGCTTTAAACTTATAATTCCTCTCATTTAACGTCGTAGATTGTAAATATTAATTATTTCCTACTATTTAATTTCAGATAAGACTGTGGATAAAAAATAGACGACCTCAAGCTCACGTCACTGGATCTCCAATTGGTGTTGATCTTTCTAGAAACTGGAATTCACAGTGGGGAGGTGAGAGAAATTGCAACACAGGGTTTTTTTCAAAATACTAACAACCAGACAGAATTATAAATTGCTGACAGTATAAACAACAACTTTTGTTCCATGACATTTTACAAAATTTAGTAATTGTGCCAAAAATAAACTTTTAAGTGTTTGTTATATTATCTGACGCTATTTATATCTGTAATCGGTAGTAAGGCAAATTCAGATGTGCAAGCATCCTCCGCGACCACTACCACAGAGTTATTATCGTTTAGAGTGATCTATTTAGATACATATATTTACTTTGATGAATTATGAAAAGTTATGGAGTAAAAGTTGTTGATTATTATGTTTCTAATATACTCTTGCGGGGTTGTTAGTATTACAAATAACCCTGTATGTAACTATGATGTATCTTGACAATATTGGTTCTGTCCTCATACCAAATTTGTATATTCGTCTAAATGTCAGTGTTCTCTCCTATATTACTAGTATTATATAAACAGTCTTAAATTTATTAAGAAGCAGTTGGCAAAGCCAACGATTGAACTTTCATTCTCACTTATGACTTATACATTAACTTCAGTGGTATATTGTTAAGGACATTGATTGTTCCTGTTAAAACTTTATCATTGGCTTCACTTCATTTATTAGCACAAAAACGTGTGTTCTTTTATTTTAGTTTTCGGAGGTAGCTTCGAAGCAATCAATAATAACTATGTAGGTGTGGGTCCATTCTCTGAGCCCGAGACAAGATCTGTCTCCCGTTATATTGAAAGCATCAGGTCTAATTTGGTTGGAGCATTGTCCTTCAGGAGCTTTGGACAGAGATTACTGATTCCTTTAGCTCATACTAGTGCTGCTGAGGGCTCTACTGCGTACAATTACGAGCAGATGGTAAGTCTTCCAGTGATTAGTTAATCAGTTTGAAAATGTAATTATGAGTAATCCTTGGTTTCCTGGCCCAATTCCAAAAAAGAGCTTGATTGTGGATTCTGTTTTAAAAGTACTGGGTATATTATTTGAGACTTTCTTCTAGTCAACTATTTTTGTTTTAATTTTTTCATCTCTACGAACTGTAGATCCAAATTGGAAGGAGAGCTATGGGATCTTTGTCTGTGAAATACAACACTCAATATTTAGTTGGCACATCAAGGGATGTTCATGGTGAGTGTTTTTTGTGATACAATGTGATGAGACCCAAGGCTTCAAAGTAGTAATGCGTCTCTTTCTAATTGAGTGTTTATTCATATTTCAGCCAGCCATATTGTTTTTAACTCCTTAATTTTTACAGAAAAAGTGGCCGCTTATGGATGACCAAAACTAATAATATTATTTCATGATACAAATTAGTATACTTATTTCATATGCTACTTTATAATAGAAGGTTTCATTCATTCATTTTATTCACGTTTCATTACAGTAAAAGCATATTACCTTTAAGGTAATTTTATTTAACCAAAATTTAAAAAATTTGCTAGAATAGACACTACCTAAGATGATTTTATTTAGCGATTTCAACTTGTTAGACAAGGACTTCGAGCCATCTCACGTGACTCGGTTTTTTACTTTTACTTAAAATAAACCTTAACATAATCCAAAAAGGTGTAAATTTGTAATATTGGTATATCGAAGTGCGCGATACAGTTTATGATATATATATATCCGCGGACGGGACGAACAAGTCCAGCGCCTGTCCATAACACTCGCAGTGCCACTCAATGTTTAATTCACAAAGATCTGAGGGGCACTGCTACTGCTATGATAAACATAAGTTGACAAGTCCCATATGCCTATAATTTCACCAGCATCATTACCCTCCAAAACCGGAGCGCAGTAATGCTCACATTACCGCCACAGAAAAATGTAAGATAGTAAGAGTTCTTTATTTGGTTATTGAAGTTTTTTTTTCATTTGAAGATCTACGTACCCCCATTTCTAGTATTTCAAAAATAAAAGTTTGTAGTATTATGACAGCAGTAACGGTGGTGAATTTAATTAGTCGCCATAGCAAATGATATGATGGTCGTTGATATATACTAAGCAACGAAATCTTTTTCCAATTTCTCTACTGAATTCTTTGGTTTTGGGTTCAGTTTCAGCGTACTTAAGGTCCAACAAATTCCAGTAAATAATAAAAAAGATCTGAAGATTTTTTGTGAATTGAACGTAAAGCTCCGAGAAAGGTATAAAAATGGCTATAATAAAATTCTCCTCAAAATTATGATAAAATGTAGAGCACTACAATACTTTATGGAACATTTATCGAATGTATTATCATTGATTATGAAATATCTGCGTCACATATGAAATGTTACAATGAACTAATTCAATTCCTTTTTATAGATGGCTCCACTGGCGTCTTGATGGATTGGGTTAAATTCCGGTTCAACCCGCCAATAGCGGCCACTTACCACCTCAGGGATACCGGTACCTGGGGCTACACTCTTCCAGTTGCTCAAGTTCTGCCAACTTGTGAAGAAACCTTTGATTCTCTTTTGGCTATTATTAGAGAGGCAAAGCACATAAATATATTGTAATTTATCATAAACCGAATGAGAATGCGTTCCCATTATGCAGTGACGACAGATAATCGTACATTTTAAAATATCGTGTCTTGTAAATTTAAATGAAATTGTTCACAATTAGTACACGATTGACTGTCGTTCACGACTTTTTTGACTTTACGACGACAGAATGTCAAGATAATGGAAAGAACTAGAACGACAGTCGTCTGATGATAAATAAAACGTCACGATGAAAATGTGACAACAGATAATCGCAGGTACTATTTTTATGACGTTTTATTTATCGTTGTCTCATGTCTGCAAACGACAAGGCGGCTGCAGTGTAACGATAAATTGTCGTCACGATTCAGTGGAAACAGCTAGGAATGACTAAAGTTCAACGATAAAAATCCACGACAGATAATCGTGATATGGAACAAGCTAGACGCGACAGCCGTCTAACGATAAATAAAACATTACAACATAATGGGAACACGTCCTGATTCAAACAGTTACCTGATATTTTTCTACCAGGTTCTCGATGTACTAAATTATTTTACAGTGCATGTTTTAGATCATGGCGATCACTTCTAAAGTTTTTGTTAATAAAATAATATGCGTTTCTAAAATCCAATGTGTTAACCTTTTTCTCTATTATATTAAGTGCCGGGAGGAAGAATATATGCGCCTGGTGGTTAACGACGTGCCTACCCATAACAGTTGCAGTATCGCTCAGAACTTTAATTATATCCCTGAGAGATGTAAAGTTGAGAAGTCCCATGTATCTATAGTTCACCAGCACGCTTACCCTTCAAAACTAGAACACAGCAATGCTCACATTACTAGGAGACAGAAATAGGTATTTCAATAATGTGATCTATGAGGCCACGCATAGATCCTGTATTAATAGAGCTAACTTTAGTAACAAACAATTTTTGTGACAAAATCTCTTAAAATATCAGGTTACCTAGATATATATATCAAATTTGTACAGGTGGTGGTAGGTTTCAAATAAAGTTTTGTAAAGGCACGGCTACAAGAATATATCTATTTTGTTGTTATATTTAATACAAGGATCGAACAAATTCAAAGGAAAATTCGTTCGATCCAGCTGAACTCGATCCAGTGATGCCAACCAGTGAACCGTACCGAGGGAATTTTTCTTTGACTTTGTTCAGTCTTTGTATCAATAATTATAACGACAAACTAGCGGAGTACTTTCACAAAAAATATACAAATAAATAGTATATAAATATAGGAAATGAGACTATTTTTCCGGATTTAAATCGCGTATATTTGTTTTTCCCATTGACTTACAAATAAATGGACGACGGGTCTAATACAAAAACCACGAAAAAAATGTCCCAAGTCAACCTATTCGAAATTTAAATTGTAATGTCATCGCAGTATCGCGCTGTCAGTAGAACAAATGAAGACTAAAGCGGAGATAGCGCTCTGTATACGATTTTAGCGCCTTACAAGTTCGGACACTTTTTAGCGCGGACCCGACGTCCATATAATTGTAAGTCAATGGTTTTTTCAAACAAACCGACGTTTCTGTCAAGTTCAAGTCTGCAGTCTGCGAGCGTGTCATGGATAAACCTACACATTCAATGAAGTTTGACAAACCCCAGGTCCTTGCAAAAGAAGTCCGTTATCTATCCAGGATGCTGCGAGAGGCCATTGAAATTAAAAAACATCCTAATTTCAACAGGGAAGATGGTTTTTCCGTACCACCAGTTTGGGATACAGTATTTCCTCTAATGAAAAATCCCAAACAGACATAAGACTGCAGTACTAATTAATATGTTTTAGTTTATTCTAATTTCTATTATTAATTAATAATAAATTGAACTTAATAAAAATTCATTCAAGCAAATAATTTGTACATCTTAATGTAGCGTAAATTGGAACGTTTTCTTTGTAAAATTAAAAATAAAGTATTTAATTAATAACTATTGTAACTATAGTGAAAAAATAGGGTGGTTTGCATCAATATTAGACATAACTGGTTGAAGACTGTACTACCTCAGTCAACCGTGACCATGGGACCTAAAAAGGTCCGAAACGTCGGTTTGTTTGAAAAAACAAATATACGCGATTTAAATCCGGAAAAATAGTTTCATTTCCTATGTGTGACAATCGCGAAAACCTAAGAACTCGATAAGTATATAATTATATTGTGATATATTTAAATTTTTTTTTCGAAAAAGCCAGATTTAAAGCTTTAAACGATTTGAATTCAAATTAACGAATATTCTCTTTTTATGCGTCGAATGAATAAAAAATAATTGCGAATGTATTACCTGCAATAATTTATATACATAACTTCAGGCTTGTTTCTTACTGGCGTAAGCAAAAACAATAGAACCAACGCCTGCACGAACTTTTATGACATGGATTATGATTTTCTATCGTTTCCTCCACTCGAATTTCACGCATGCGATAACTATTTGGTTTAATTTGTCAAACGTGACGCGTTTTAAGCCCCTCAGGGCTGTGAAGGTGCTTTTCCACCGGCGAGGCGAGACGAGGATTGAAATTTGTATGGCAAAATTTCAGTTCTCTCCTATCGCATCTTTGGTTTCCACAATGGCCTGGATTGACGAGGATGGGTGAGGGAGAATTGAAATATTTGTTGATGTAATATTGAACCGTATTGTTGCCTTTATAGAGTATTAAGCTCTGTAATGGAAATATGATTTCTCGCGCGAAATCGCGATGGCTATTAATATTTACGCGAGTTTGTAGGGGTAAATACGATTTGAGATTAAATGTAGATGGCTTCACAAGCTAAGCGGAGGTGGGCGGGCACTTAGCTAGAAGGGACGATGGAAGAAGGACGAGAGTCGTTACTGAATGGTGGCCAAGAGACGTAAAAAGACCAAGAGGCAAACCCGCCCGATAGATTGATAACATCAATGGCGCAATAGAAAGGAGGTCTATACTCAGCACGGGGTGCAAACAGGCTAAATGATCATTTTGATGATGCAGATGGCTTCATCTGATTCTTCTTCCGTTAACATATTTAATAATTTTCATTTACGGGAATTATTACTTTAGCCCCGTGTTTATCGCTAAACGAGCTGAACACCACTGAATTGTCACCATCCACAACCACAACGCAAGCTTTTGATGGTAATTTTTGTCATCTCGTCTCGCCTCATCTTACCACCGCCACCTTTAGTGTCTTACTGTGTGAGATATATTATAATGTATGAATATGATATAGATTAAAAAACTTTTATTGAATAAAACTGTGTTCGTGGTTCCATTATTTATATAACTTACTTCGGTGAAACGGGCGTGTGTCATTTTATATGCCTGCTGATTCTGGATATCTATTTCATATCCGATAGCCTGTACTTACAACATTTTAATATTTCACAACAACATGAATAATGTGAAATCAAAACTGATTAACTCAAATTGTTTACTATAATTAAATAGGCAAAATTTATCTCATTGCTAATTAATAATTTTATCGCACCAGTCAATTCAAATATTGATAAACATATATGCAGTTTCATCAACAAATTATTACTTTTGAAGTAGACAGGCACAATTGTTGTTGACAATGTTGAAATTGTGTCTCGTGTTTTTGTTCTTCATTACCTTGGTATCAAGTGAGAAATTTCGTTTTGACAACTTCACCTTGTTGTTTCGGTTATCTTTAATACATTGTTATTGATTAAAAAGCAATTTTAAACGGAACTTTTAGTACCCGTCAGCCTTTTTTAATTTTTAGTCTTTGATTTTCAGTAATAGGAGCTAGTGCAGATCTAGCCTCAAATAATTTCGCTGGGTCAGAACCCTTTTCTGAGCCAGAAACAAAAACACTTTGTATCTTTCCATTCTGCCGGTCAAATACTATTTATTAATCCCGTTTGGTAACACTACTGAGCCTTTGGCTAATCATCACGATGCGGTATGTATGTAAGTGGACATGGAAAGAAAATGTTTACAATCAAAATTACAACCATACTATCTTCACATTTTTTATTTTCAGCTTAATGTTGGAAGAAGAGCAATGGGAGCCTTATCTGTAGGATACGGTACACTTTATACTTCGGGAAATATAGCTGAAGTTATTTGTGAGTACCTATTAAATTTGATTCCATGTATTCGTCATACATCTTTTTTTTTAAACTTCTGTCAAAACACATAGTTGGCTACCAGCTTTAACTGGTCCATCGGATTTAAGGGCGAGCTGAAGACTATAAACCTATATAATTATTTAAAGAGAGGTAGGTTTCTTTTGCACCGAACCCGGATCAAATGCGACAATTTTCCTTTCACATATACATAATTTATTTCGTATTATTTTTATTACTTTCATATGATAGAAGTAGATCTGGAGAGGACTTATATTAAAACTTATATCAATTGTTTTACTTTCGGATTACACTTCAGGTAAAAGTATGGACTGGGTAAAAGAAGGTTTACAAATCCCATTAGTGTTTTGCTATAAACTTGGCGATAGGTGCCAATTTACTAAACTTTACTTTACTTAAACGGACATTTACTGTCGGCTGATCAGATTCTTCCCAATAAGTCATGGATTCTATAATAGGAAAATCTCAATTCATCAAGGAAAAAGATTCGGTTTTTTAACAATAGTAATTTGACAGCAGATGTTTAATACAATGTATTGTTGACATCATTGTCAATATTTGTAATGTTCAAATTACTTTGTGGGTTTTTTAACTGCCTCCGTAGCCGAACGGTTACCATGCCGGACTTCCACGCAGAGGTCCCAGGTTCGATTCCCGGCCCAGGAGAAATAGTTGTATGGCCTATAATTTTATTTCTCTCGTAAGTTTGGGTGTAATTTGTGGTTGTCTATGTGTGTGTCCATGGCACCCGCGACTCGGTGTTTCCCTAGTGCGGGGCTATGTTGAGTTTGTGCGTTATTTATTATTAGTTATTATTTAAATTAAGTTTTATTCTGTTTACCTTATTATTACAAGCCGATTATTATTCTAAACTGATTATTAATACGAAAAACGAACAGTAAGAAAAGTTCCTTTGATCTTGCCCAATTTTATTAAAAAATTATGTACACGTGCTAGTGATTATATAACTTACTTCGTTCTAACCTGACATCTGATATTTGATACATTTGCTATATTCTGAATATACAGGGTGTAATCGTATATTAGACAACTATATTACATAACATCACATACGTTGCTCTGATCCCAAAGTAAGTAGCTTTAGCACTTGTGTTATGGAAATCGGAAACAACGACGGTACCATAAACACCCAGACTCGAGACAATACAGAAAAGTTAGTTTCTACACTGACCCAGCCGGGGATCGAACTCGGGACCTCAGAGATGATGATACCATGAAAACCATTGTGCAAGCCACTCGACCACAGAGGCCGTCACACGGAGGATCGTAAAATGTGCCCTGGCAATTATACCGTAAATATAAGAGATATCAAAAATCTTTAAACGGTTATCAAAATTACGTTACCTAATGAGTAAAATTATACCAATAGCTTTTAAAAATAAAACTAGAAATATGCGAAATTTTAACCTTAAACGCTCATATATCAAATATGATACGGTAGAAAAACTTTAGTTGACCTATTTTTAGAGGTAACAACAAGTTTACAGAAAAGAAAACTGCTATAAATAAAGTAATAAAACTATTTTTTCATTGAATGCAAACAAAGTGGTGTTTGCTTTTACGTAAGTACAAAATTTTGTATTCAAATCAGTTGTTGAAAACTAAAGCCTCCCTCCGAATGTCATGTTAAATATATTGCAGTGTTTAACGTTAAAATTTTGGATATTTCTAGTTTTATTTACAAAATTTTATTGATGTCGTTTTACACATTAGGTAAGTATTTTTGAATTCGATTTAAAGGTTTTGATATCTCTTATTTGTACTGATAATCGCCTGGGTCCACTTAATTATTACACCGTATATATTTCACAAGTTTCCAGTAGGTATAAAATATTAAAATATTTAACAGTCACATCAAATAACCAATATCAAGATAGAGTTAATAAAACTAACATAAATTCATAAATTACATAGATTGAGTCGATTAGATATATATTTTACCACATTTTATGAGGGTTCAATTTAAAAATTGTTAAATAGTTTATAACCATATCATTGTCTTCCAAGTACGCAGATAGAGTCGTTGTTAACAATGATAAAATTTTGTCTAGCTTTTTGGTTCTTTATCGCCTTGGTGTCAAGTGAGAAATTTCGTTTTGACAATTATTCTTTATACAATGTACTTCCCAAAAATGAAAATGAAATTAAATTACTACAAGAATTGGCCCATAATGATATCGAATATGATTTCTGGACTGAACCCGGTCCGTCTGCTGAATTTGTGAACATTATGGCAAGTCCTTCACAAAAATATAATCTGGAAACTCTTTTAAACCTACATGGAATTGACTATAAAGTGACTATTAAAAACATTCAAGAGTGAGTATTACTTTTCTGCATATTTTTATTTATCTATTATATATTGTATCATTGGTGATCCAATATGATGAATTTTGCTGAAAAACAGCTTTATAAATAGGGTAGGTTGGTGTAAGATGGCGCACTTTTGAAACAACTAGCCATAAAAAAATAAAAATCAACACTGTCAAAATCAACTGTACTTATTTTTGAGCTTTGACTAATCGGTAATAAAAACGTAATTATAAAAAGATCTTAACTTATATCCACTCACGCGATGCGCTCCGCCTACCGGAAAATGGCGGCTATTTGGTTTCGCAAATTAGAAAAGCATTCAGTTTAAATACAAGTTTTTATAAATAAAAATTATTATTCTGCATTGCTAAATAAATACCCTACGTACTACCAACAAAAACATCTCAAATAAAATGCAGTAATACACCGCAAATCCTGCACTTAAAAAGCACTAATGAAATTTTTGGTGTACTTGGATAAATATGATAATATTCCGTTTGAGTGGTTCTAACGTTTACCATGAAATTACTCCGTAAACTATAGTTTATAAACATTTATATTCAGGGTAAACTTAAAAAACGCTACTTACGGTATGTTTTCAATAAATAAACACCGAAATCACCAGCCCAAACAATAACACACACGATTGTCGTGACGTATTTTTGAAGTTGTTTATTTTTTTTAAATGACAGACCCAGGCATTAAAAACTTTATGGTTTGCTAGAGTAGTTACGAAATAGCAATTAATATTAGTTCTTTTACCTGTTATAACTTCGATATCCGATAAATCGGTATAAAATCATCACCCTTCCCACACCATTTCTTTTTTTTTTGACGGGGGGGAAATCTTTATGGATACCCCTGAGCCCAGGGAGACTCAGGGGTTATGTGGGGACTCTCCCAGACTGGAGGGCCTACCCCACTAAAACCGCCGGTTGAGTCGGCGCCGTGGGATCAGTGAACGTTCACCACGACGCCGCCCGGAACACCCTTACCACACCTAGAGGTGCCGACCTCTAGGTGTGGTATGCGTCTACGGCTGCATGTATCGCGTGAGCGGATATCATTAGGTGAATGTAAACCAAAAATGCAGAAATAGGAAATGCGCACTTTTACACAACCCTGAGGGTAAGATGGCGCAACAAAGTTGATGAGATGACGCAGCTTAAACATTGTCATTTTTACATCAATTACTGAAGACATAATGACGCCTTTAAACACAACAAATCTAAAATACCCTATGCACTTCTCGTCCCACCCTTCCGGACAAACAGAGCATTCAATCCAGTCTTTTCCAATAGGTTCCTTGTAGGTATATTTCATGACACTCAGCACATGTCCAAATCTTCTTTGTTTCAATTTTTTTTAGTGAAGATTTCGCACTAGTATTACCATTGCATTAGCCTTCTCAACGTAGATTCTGGCATTACTAAGATTTTGCCACAAATCTTTTACATTTTCCTTTGTCGAGGAACTTGCGCGCTTCAGCTATAACGGAAGGTGCCCATGTCTGTTTATCACTCTTCCATTCGCGTCAAGGTGCGAAATGCAATCGAATAAATTAAAATCTTTAAAAAGGAGTTCGGACCCCAAACATTCAAAGAAGGTTTTGTAAGTACGCGCCCGTTTTATACAACTTAACAAAATACGACTGCAGTTAGACGCGAACTACACTCCAGAATCAGTCAATCACTAATTCGCCATCTTACACCAACCTACCCTACAATGCTATCACGTATGGTCTTAAGCCGACTGCATTCGACGGTTCCTGTTTCTTGCATCGATCAACCTAGGAAGATGTCTAGGTCAGTGACACAATATATTTATCTCGTCAGACATAATATAGCATGTATTTTCTTTTGTCACATTTTCATTTACGAGATTCTTGGACGCAGAAATCCGGCTACAACTTTCTTTCAATTTCTTTTCAGTTATAATACTACAATGAATTATTATTCGCACTATTACATACTTTTTACGTATACATGCAAGTTTTTATTGGCTTTATATTGATTACAATGACAGTCCAAAATTTTACACCTTTAACTGATTTTTAAAAAAAGGAGAAGTTTTTTTTTATAATATCAAGTGACGGGACTAACAAGTCGTGCGCCTGATGGTAAGCTACACGCGTATCCATAACAGTTGCAGTGTCCTCGGAGCTTTAAATCGCAAAGATCTGAAGGGCACTGCCACTACGCCCGTCACCCTGAGACATAACTTGACAAGTCCCATGTACCTGTAATTTTACCAGCACCCTTACCCTTCAAAACCGGAACACAGTAATACTATCATTACTGCTTGACGGCAGAAATGGGTAAGGTATAGGGTAAGGCAGTATTTCCCTGGACGAACTATGTCACTATTTTTTGTTTTGTGTTTGTTACACGAGTACTTCAACATTTGTGAACCAATTTCGATGATTTGTTAGAGAGGAGGTACCTGAGTAGTAGTCCCATTTAAATATGAAGAAAACATTCCACCTCTAAGGATTAGGAGATGAATCCGGTTTATTGAATGTTTTGAAATCGGTTAACGGAAAGTAGGTGCCGTTAACCGATTTCAAAAAATTTTGCAAATATATGTCATTGCACAAACCTTTTCGGTCGCTTATTTATAGAAAATTATTATTATTGGCTAAAGCGTTACTATGGTTTAAAAAATCTCATTTTTTTGAAAATCTTTTACAAATCTTCCCAAAGACAAATTTGCTATTTTTCCATTATTAACCCATCGTAGACAACATTTTCTTCTAAAGACCAAATTATAAATAGCATATTAGGTCTACGCGTCGTAACAAGCATGCCAATTGGCATGCAGCAAGCTAATGTAAGGTTACTAGCAGTGCAAACACATAAAATTTGGAATTATTATTCTATTGGAGTATAATTTCTATCCTAAATCCTTTGCAGAATAATTGACAAAGAAACGGTAAAGCCATACACTCGCAATAGCAGATTTATGACTTGGGATTCTTATTACACTTTAAGAGATATAGAAAATTGGATGAGCGACATGGCCAAAGCACATTCTAGCATAGTCACTGAAATAGTTGGGGGAGTCTCTTATGAAAGAAGACCAATTAAAGGCCTTAAAATTTCACACGGTACTGGAAGACAAGTCATATTTATTGAATCCGGTATTCATTCCCGGGAATGGATAACAATGGCTACAACTTGTTACATAATTAACGAGCTCTTAACAAGTAATGATGAAGAAACTAAAGCTGCTGCTAGAGATTTTGATTGGTACATCTTCCCTGTTACCAATCCTGATGGTTACGTGTGGACTCATACCGAAGTACGTGGAAAGTTTGTTTAGGTTTTGAACGTCGTAAAAATTGTTAAGTCAGTCGTCCATATTTTTATCAAAAATGATGAACTGTTTGTGTTGTTTTTAGGATAGGCTGTGGCGTAAAAATAGAAGACCTCAAAGAGGTGACATTGGCGTAGATCTAAATAGAAATTGGAATAATAACTGGCTGGGTAAATGAGATAAAATAATTTATTCGTTGTTATCAATTCATTTTCAATGTCAACACTTTGAAAATTTGTCAGTCTTGTAATTATATTAATATACATTAGCTTTTCTTAACAGATGCAACATTCAAGTTAGCAAAGACTTTTTCACTGTTTTGTTTTCATCAAATTTATTATAGTCATTTACATGCCTCGTCTGTCCTTCAATTCGCAACCTTGGTATAGTAAGCAGTGATTGGAATTGAGGGAATTAAATTGCATAGTATGAACGTTTTCTAAGTATGCACATAACTACCCATTTCGTCATAAATGCGTATAAAATTTCTTTATTTACTGTTTATTTTCCAAATATTCAAAAATATGAGCTGTCTTATGTTTATTTTGTTAATAATCTGTAACAAATACTTATTATGAAATAACTGTTTGTCGCCAATGTACTCAAATTTCAATGAATAGTAAGAGAAATGGATATAAAGATTATTTATTCCTTTAAAAAACAACACAATACACATGCATTTTATAATAAGACTAACATATTTAGACAAAGAACTAAATTATGAATAATATCAAAAGTACAAAGCGTGTATGCTGTGCTGTTAAGAAACCCATGACCCAGTCAGCTTCCTGTCGTCTCACCTAAAGTGCTACGATCCTGATTTTTAGCGGATTCGGCAACAGAACACACGTGACACGGATAGTAGTCATCACAGATTTGCACCAAAAACATTAAACAAGTACAGTCATATTACTATAAACACAAACATGATCGGATATACACTTCCATTCAAGTATAATCATTAATGAAGTTACCAGATCTACATGGTAATTTTATAATAAACATATTTAGTTCCGAAAAGTCCCTGGATTTGTTGAAGATAATGTTCACGTTCTTCTTTAGTTTAGCTAAATTAACTCTTTCAATTCCGATCATTGATATTAAGACCACATTTGTAAAATGACAACTTTTCAAGAAAGTGTAAACGCTATTTCATATTAATGAGTTACTAGTTTCATGGAGTTTGTATCGCTTTTATGACACGTGTCTTATATCGTATGATCACATGTGGTTTTATGATATAATTATTATTTACATTTTTTTTTTATTTGTATTTCTTTTCATATTAGTAATAGGAGCTAGTGCCAATCCGTCTTCAAATAATTTTGCTGGAATCGGGCCGTTTTCTGAACCCGAAACAAGAACACTTTCTGAGTATATCAGATCGATCGATAATATTGAGATGTACTTAACTTTCCACTCTGCCGGTCAAATCCTGTTAATCCCTTTTGGCAACACTACTGAGCCCTTGGCCAATTATCACGACGCGGTAAGTATTTAATTTGGATCTTAATAGATTTGAATTAAGCATAAAAATGTTTTAAGTCCAAATATATCTACGACTCTGAATAGTATTACTTTCTGCTAAGCTTCATTTAGGGCTTAGGCAGTTTTTTATCACCACGACCATTAATAAAAGATATATTGTTACTTATTCATTTATCTATAATGATTCAATCGATTTTCAGCTAAATATTGGAAGAAGAGCAATGGGAGCATTGTCTGTACGATACGGCACGCAATATACTTCAGGAAACATTGCTGAAGCTATTTGTAAGTAGCTTTAATAATCTTAACGTCTATGACGGGTTTATCATAGTTTCCGTAACCGCTCACGCGATACATGCAGCCGTAGACGCATACCACACCTAGAGGTGCCAGTGATGATTTTATACCGATTTATTGGATATCAAAGTTATAACAGGTAAAAGAACTAATATTAATTGCAATTTCGGTAACTACTCTAGCAAACCATAAAGTTTTTAATGCCTGGGTCTGGCATTTAAAAAAAATAATCAACTTCAAAAATACGTCACGTAAATCGTGTGTGTTATTGTTTGGGTTGGTGATTTCGGTGTTTATTTATTGAAAATATACCATAAGTAGCGTTTTTTAAGTTTACCCCTGAATATAAATGGTTATAAACTATAGTTTAAGGAGTAATTTCATGGTAAACGTTAGAACCACTCAAACGGAATATTATCATATTTATCCAAGTACACCAAAAATTTCATTAGTGCTTTTTAAGTGCAGGATTTGCGGTGTATTACTGCATTTTATTTGAGATGTTTTTGTTGGTAGTACGGAGGGTATTTCTTTAGCAATGCAGAATAATAATTTTTATTTATAAAAACTTGTATTTAAACTGAATCCTTTTCTATTTTGCGAAACCAAATAGCCGCCATTTTGCGGTAGGAAGAGCGCATCGCGTGAGCGGTTAAGTTTTCAGGCTTAAGAACACTTTTTAAAACCAATATGTTATACTAAGTGTCAACTATACAAATCTAAAACACCCTGACCCACTACGAATGTCACTTGTGCACTAAGTTAGATTCAAATCCGAGAAAATATAAATATCTCTAGTACACCTAGCGATATAATGATACCTGTGATATTTTGGACCGCCATTTCTCGGATTCGGAACTGGGGGTCTACTCTCGATCTCCGTCCGACATCCGTCCGAAACAATTACTGTGAAATAAGCAATACTCGACCAAATGAAAAGGCGCGCGATGCGAATGAAGCTTCATACTTGATACCTGTCTTTTAATTTGGTCGAAAATTACTTACTTATTTGACAGTAATTGTTTCGGACGGAAGTGTACATTTCATTGAATAAATCTTTGGGATACAAAACCATTATCCTTAAACAAAATATAACCAACGTAACATTTATAGGTTTTTCTTTTATAATATCTAGTGACAGGACGGTCAAGTCGTGCGTCTTAAAGTAAACTACAGGCCTGTCCATAACAGCTGCATTGCCACTCAGAATTTTAAATCGCAAAGAGGGTCACTCTGAGACATAAGTTGACAAGTCTCATGTGCCTGTAATTTCACTAGCACCCTTACCCTTCAAAACCAGAATACAGTAATTCTGACATTACTGCTTGGCGGCAGAAATAGATAAAGTGGCTGCCCTAGACGAACCCTTTCACAAGGAGGTCTACTACTACCAAAACAACAATTATGGTAGACTTCTTTAGTACACAGGGTAACCCAAACTATGCGACACGGAGGGAAAGTACTTATAACAGATGACACCGCCTTTGCGCTGAAACGCGAAAGTGAAGTTTAATGTAAGCAAATTTTTAACATTACCATTACAGTCTTATGTAATGAAATTTATACGTACAATGAAATCAATGACTCCATTGACATATACCTAGGAGATGATTCACGTAATTAACCCGTAACTATATCGTAGCGATTTAGTCGTTGAACTGCTTTTTCGTATTCACGTGTGACAGTAAACGTCAACGAGTCCAATTTTAAAGTCGTTCGATCCAAATGTCGTTAAAGCGTATTCTGGTATATGAATCGAACTTAAGTCGACTTTAAACGACAAGTCATACGTATTCTGCTAAAATATTGACAGTTCTTTCAATAGATTTCGACGACTAAATGTCAAATTTCACAATCCAAGATGTCGTTCATTAGTCGTTACGTTTCGATTCTACTCATATCAACGTTTGTTCAAGTGATACGTATTCACGTATCACCCAGTCTTCAATCAAATGACTATGTAACTTCAACGATATTTCGATAGCTTGAACTTACGTGAATCGCACTACTGGTCTATGTGTGTACAGAGTGTCCCACGGCTATGTAACACGAAGGGAAAGTACTGTAAATATTGCAGATGGGGTATTTTGCTTTATAGAGACATTAAATTATTTTTAAAAGTAAAAGTACTGCATTTAAAGACTTTTCAAAAGGTGCTTTCCTCATTTGGGCATCGAACCGATCAAGTGTGAAAAATATCTGTTCTTTTTTTCTGCCGATACATAGGGTCAATTGTAAAGGTTAATTTGTTTTAAATAAAATAGAATCTTAAGCTAAATGAAATCCGTTATATTATACTATTTAGCAAATACAAAACAAAATTCAAACAGCCTATCCACGATATTTGCACCAAAATATGTTTCATCTCCTTATATGAAATATTCGCGTGTGCAATTCTTATATATTATTATGATGAATATTCGAAATAATATAACACAATTCCGTTTTTAGCTCATCCAGATTGTGAACAAAAAAATTATTTAAATATTTCTAGTATTCACAGAAAAAGAAATCGAATAGTGTAAGGTCTGAATATTTCGCCGGCCATCTAATCGGTCCATGTGTATTGATCCAGGAAGGAAAACAATAATTAAAAAACTTGGATATTCTCCGACTGTTATGAGTCAGAACTTCATCTTAAAGTACAAATATTGACAGTAAAACGGATGATAAATAGGCACAGTATAGGCTACTTAAAAGTAAAATTTCATGGTGTTCATATCGAGTTCTTAGGTTTTCGCGATTGTTACACATAGGAAATGAAACTATTTTTCCGGATTTAAGTCGCGTATATTTGTTTTTTCAAACAAATCGACGTTTCGGGCCCTTTACAGGTCCCATGGACACGGGTGAGAAACTTGCTTACAAGAAAATTTTACTTGCGCTTTTCAGCGGACAGGCGGTGTCATCTGTTTTGATATAATATAATAAATAGCTGTATTTTACACAAAGCGAGTGTCACGTAACAGAGGTTAGCCACCGTTTTCGTTTTCATTAATATTATAATTTTCTATCAATTATTGTCTGTCAAGATGGACTTGTCCGTGTCCGAATTAACTGTTGCTTTCATTCTTATCATCTCTTTATATCTCAAAGTCCTCGAAAACGAGTTGCATAGGTCAATATGGCAATCCCAGAATGGTTTCTGATCACAAGTTGGCCAATGTCGAGACAACATGGTGAAATGGGGTGGTACCAACCCGACTCAAAACCATTGTGATTGCGGATCCCACACACAAAGTATGTCTCACTTGCACTTGCAAAGACCCGCTAAAGGCAACAGATAGGGGCATAAAGGTGGTTGCTTACTGGGCCAAAGGAATATAACACTGGTTTTTTATTGGTTTGTGCCATTGACGCGACAAGAAGAAAATCCCTGTCATTATTTCGACCGTCCATTGATGGATATAGCCTTTCCCAAAGATCATTATTAGATTTGTATTTTTTTTTTCAGACCATGCTTCAGGCAGTAGCATGGACTGGGTGAAAGAAGTATTGCATGTCCCTTTAGCATATTGCTATGAGTTCCGTGACAGAGGCCAATTCGGACATCTACTTCCTCCTGATCAGATTCTTCCCAACAGTCAAGAAGTCATGGATTCTTTAATAGAACTCATTCACCAGGGAAAAAGATTCGGTTATTTTAACAACAGCGATGTTGTCAAGGCATCCATGTTGTCGACATCATGTTTAGTTATTGTTTTGAAATGTTTTATGTAATTTTTAAGTATTTTATTAATTTGTGTTTTTAAATTACTTATGATATGTAATTTGTTTTTAATATCAGATTCCTATCTATAGATCAAGTTACTTCATTATTAACAGGTAAACGAATGTTATAGTACATTATTGAACTAAAAAAAAATTGTAGTCTGGAAAAAAAACACAAAGTTTTTAACACTTATTTCATTAGCTTTTGTAAATAGTCACCGCGCACACACATATTTTAAATAGAAAACTACCTAAGACTCGGACATATTAAGTTAACTAAAGGATAAGTCACATATTTAAGTCGAATCTTTGCTCGACTTGTTTCGAATTAGTCCGTGGTCCGTAATCATGAGTTTCCGCGGCGGTGACTCGACGGAAACTGCTCGCCAAAGCCCTGACAACCCAGTGACTGCACTCTGAAAAATCTACGAAATTGACGCTTATGGCCTTATTACAAAATACCTACACAGAGAGTGGCTGATAAAGGAAAAAGACATAATTGAAAGTATGAGATGAATCTAGTAAAATGGTACAGAACTATTGTTGATCACATAATAAGTTTAGTTCTATTATTGAAACTCGTAAAATATTGCTCGTACAATTCGATATCTAAGATTCATAATTGGCCACTCATACCATAATAGGTGGTTTTTATTTTCTATATTTTTATTGTTGTAAATATTGCTCTTTATTAGACTCATATTCCGATTTATCATTAGTGAAGCCTGTACATAAGTTTAAAAATAGGTAAATAAATAAGCAAGAATGAAAAATAGATTGAAACATGATTTCAATTCCTGTATTATGTGTATCTGTTTCGTAAGTTTCAGATAGAGTTAATCATACTAACATAAATCCATAAAATGGTCCAGTCGATAAGATTAATTTTACCACATTTTATGAGGTTTGATTTGAATATTGTCGACTAATTCAGCACCATGTTATTATATTTTTCATGACCTTCCAAGTACGCAGACAGACTCGGTGTTAACAATGTTGAAATTTTGTTTAGTGTTTTTGTTATTTATCACCTTGGCATTAAGTGAGAAATTTCGTTTTGACAATTATTCCTTGTACAATGTACTACCCAAAAACGAAAACGAAATAAAATTGCTACAGGAATTGGCCCTTAATGACATCAAATATGATTTCTGGACTGAACCTGGCGCATCAGCTAAATTCGTGAACATTATGGTTAGTCCTCCACAAAAAGATACTTTGGAAGGTTTCTTAAACCTCAATGGAATTGACTATAAAGTGGCTATTAAAAACATTCAAGAGTGAGTATTTTTTCTCTATATATTTTTATCTATCTGTTATAAATTATATGTATAATTATTAGCCACTTAAATTTTGCTGAACATAGGCTCCTTGAATATAATGCTACCAAAATGGTCTTAAGGCGTCTCCAATCCATGATTGCTGTTCAGTGTTCTATACATTTTTCAATTAAGAAAGATGGCTAAGCCAGTGAAAATATACTTTGTTCCAAATAACAATGTAGTTTGATTTCTGGAAATTTATTTACAATTTTTTTTAAAGGTGATACCAGGAGGTATTCGATAGATTATTACATATTATTTGCGTCTACTTCCATATTTCTAGTGTGCAATGTCATTTAGAACGGCAGTTACCCAAATTTCGTAGTTTTGGCTGAAAGTTAACACGGTAATAAAATCAGCGTGGTAAGACTTCTCGAAGTTAAATTTGCTATTTTGATGAGCTATACTGTCTTTTATTCTAAAGACCTAAACACACATATTAAAAGTATGCCCATTTCAGAGTCATACGGTTACAAAAGTAGTAGCTGCTAAAGGCACTTGTATTTGGTTAAACGCACTACTTCTAGTGTATGATTATCTCTATACCGTATTTCAAATATATTGCAGAATAATTGATAAAGAAACAGTAAAAACATACAATCGCAATAGCAGAAGTATGACTTGGGACGCTTACTACACGTTGAGCGACATAGAAAATTGGATGAGTGACATAGCGAGAGTACATTCGACCGTAGTAACTGAAATCGTTGGAGGCGAATCTTATGAAGGCAGACCAATTAAAGGCCTCAAAATTTCACACGGTCCTGGAAGACAAGTCATATTTATTGAATCCGGTATACATTCTCGGGAATGGATAACAATGACTACAACTTGTTACATAATTAACGAGCTCTTAACAAGTAATGATGAAGAAACTAAAGCCGCTGCTAGAGATTTTGATTGGTACATATTCCCTGTTACCAATCCTGATGGTTACGTGTGGACACATACGGAAGTAATTGAAAATTTGTTTGGGCTCACAATGTCGGAAAGATAGTTAAATCACTCGTCCATAATTTTATCAAACAATGACGAATTGTTTGTTTTGTTTTCAGTTCAGGTTGTGGCGTAAAAATAGAAAACCTTATGGAAATGAAGTTGGAGTAGATCTAAATAGAAATTGGAATAATAACTGGTTGGGTAAATTAGATTAAATAATTATTTTCACTTGTATTATCACAAATAGTGATTTTTTTCTCAGTGAAGTAACAAGAAAACTATATTTGTTTAGTCTCAGCCTGCTATTTATAAGAAGTATCCTAGGACATACATTTTGAAAAGATACTTATGTAATATGTCCCCAAATAATTTTTTCCCTTCCGTCAATTTATGTTATTCAATACCCTCTGCGTCGATCCATTTATAGCATTATTTTCTTTATTTTTTATCTGTATTCTCTATATGCAAAATAGACGCCACAATGTGGAATCGCGAAACCAGTCCATTACACCACACAATGCAACTTTATTTTTGATAAAAAAATATTTTGCGTACATATTTTATACCCTTTTCCAATCAGTATAGGCAGAGACAACAGCCTTTCACGTGTCACTATCCTGATACACATATTTCCTCTCATCAAAATGTATCTGTGCTTTTATAGAAGCTCATCAGATACGGATAATCTTGATCTGATTTTTTCCAAAGGATTTTGAGCAGAGCTTTTGCAAATCAGACTGACTATTTAATTTTTCTATTTTCTTTAGTAATAGGAGCGAGTACTAACCCAGCTTCAAATAATTTCGTTGGATATGGACCGTTCTCTGAGCCTGAAACAAGAACTCTTTCGGAGTACATCAGATCGATTGATAACATTGAGATGTACATATCATTCCATTCTGCCGGCCAAATCCTATTAATCCCTTTTGGCAACACTACTGAGCCTCTGGCCAATTATCATGACGCGGTATGTAACTTGCCTATAACTTTACCTTGGCTTAACTAAAAATAGATGTAAAATTAGCATGAAAATGTTTAGAGTCGTCACATTTTACAGTCTTCTTTTGTTCATTTTAGCTAAAAATAGGAAGAAGAGCAATGGGAGCTTTGTCCGTGAGACACGGCACGCAATACACTTCGGGAAATATAGCAGAAGCTATTTGTAAGTATTTAAATAAAACAAACGTGATTATTTCTACTAGTTATAGTTTGGTTTGTTATCGATTTTCTTTCGTTCTTCTTTGTTTACGTTACTCATAATCATGTTTCTTACTCGTAACTCTAATTGCATTCCAAATAAATATACTACAGTAAACTGTATTATATTATGAATGAGTCTACAGGCGCACAATACAAGAGTGATCAAAAAGCGATTGGTGGTGCCAATATCATTATTTACGTACATTATTATGGTTATAAGCTAAATAATGTACGCCAAAATGTATTAATGCCGCGTTGTAACTAATATATTGCTACGATTGCAGTGGTACAATTATTTTAATTTCAGACCATGCTGCAGGCACTAGCATCGATTGGGTAAAAGCAGCGTTAGAAGTCCCTTTAGTATATTGCTATGAGCTTCGCGACAGACACCAATATGGACACCTACTTCCTGCTGATCAGATTCTTCCCAACAATCAAGAAGTCATGGATTCTTTAATAGAACTGATTCATCAAGGTAAAAGATTCGGTTATTTTAACGACACTAATGTTGTCAGGGCATCTCTACTTTTGACATCGTTGTTGGTTTTTGTAATGAAATTTCTGATGTAAATAAAGCTTTTTGTTGACAAATTGTTGTGCATTTAAATTATTTTTTCAACAAGACAGCGAGCACGTTTCACTCAAATGAAATTAGTATGAAACGCGCACACACCACAACCTAGTATTAGGTCATAAAACTCAATGACCTAATACTAGGTTGTGGTTTGTCGGGTTCCCGTTTAATTACATAGTTTCATTGTAACATGGGCTCATAAACTTGCAATTTCCGACCAAAATTTCCCAACTCTACGTTAATAAATTCTACACATTTTGAAAATTCTAGTCCTAGAATCATTAACGTCATTATTCCGGCCATTAGGCTGAAACTTAAATTCTGTAAAGTCTGGGTGTTAATAGAGATGTAAAGATGAAAACTTTAAAATCTCTATTAGTACACGTTCAGTTTTCGATTGTCATCATAATCATCAAAGACGTTCACTGTTATATAAGCCTCGGTGAAATATTGCCACAACGAAACGTTTTGCGCTGTTCGTATCCAGTGGGTTCCTGCAACCTTCACCCAGTCCTCGAATGACTTATGATGATGATGCTCTACCCACGCTGCGTTTTTAGGTTTACGGTTGTCAGTTGAGAATTCTTCGGTTCCATCGTCTACAAGCAATGTTGCTGTTTACAAGCAGTGTTCCTGCTTCGTAACCCTTTCTAATACTCGTTGTATGAAGCTTTCTTAAAAGGTACATAGTGACCGATGACGTCTCAATGCCGTAACCCGTTACTGGCAGTACACCGTTCAAAGACTTTCGTCGTCAGACATTGTAGAAATTTGCATGAGAAAATGATATATTACAGAGTACTTAGTAGATAATAAATTCCTTATACCAAGAACTATAAAGTGAGCAAGCAATAATTGAGTCATCCATATTTTTCTATTTTCATTGGAATATTTTACTGAAAGCAATTCTGAAAAGTGTCGTTTGTATTGAATATGTATTCACAAATTAATATATTGAGCAAATTTAATTCTATATAGCTTATAGTATACCTTTCATTCAGCAGTATTCTCTACCGGATGCCAAAAGATGGCTTAAGATACAGAATTACACTATTAAAAAAAAGAAACAAATCTGGTAAAATATTATTGAAATTCATAACACATTGCTCGTAAAATTATATTTCCTAATAATAATAAAACACTGGTGGTGATCCAAATATGAACTACTGCGCTTCGGTAAGTAGTCGGCATTTAGGAGTATATTATATCTTATAAGCAATTAATAATTTTCTTTGTTTCATCTCTGCTAGTCGGTGGTACCCCGAAGTACTGAGAATACTAAAGAGCAAAATGTAATGGGCATTATTTTTAGGAATTTGATATCACCTCGTCGATTTTCTTTCATATATTGTTACCTTGAAATCACTGACAATAACGACATTGCAATCAATGCTATAAATCTGTACCTAGTATGTCCATGACACAACCTGTTAGTATTTCATCACAACAAATTATTGCGATAAATTATTTCTTATTTCCACAAAATTTATAACTTTCGATCATACACAATTTACAAGTATTATATATGATAGACGAGTTTAAGGTGATCTTGATAGCAAATTCTTTTATTTTAGTAGGAAATAATAATACAATAACCATAACCAATAACTAAATGGATTAATTGAACCATAAACTGATTATTCAGTTTATCACCGTAATAAATATACTGTATGCTGTATGAGAGAATAATTAACATATTGCAGTTAATAGTTGCGTTTCAATCGGGTGTTTTACGTGTATGTCAAGAACGAAATGAAAATTTTAAAATCATATCTTTTTTCGTTCGCTCTATTCATATCTTTAGTATCAAGTGACAAAGTCCGTTTCGACAACTATACTTTATATAAAATTACACCAAAAGGCAGTTACGAAAAAAAATTACTCCAAGATTTGAAAAATAGTGATGTCAAATATGATTTCTTTAACGTAGTAACTCCTGTAGTTGACTACGTCAACATCATGACCAGTCCTGATACAAATAGTTCTTTGGAAAGTTTTTTGAAAACGCACGGAATCCATTATAGGGTTACTATTCAAAACGTTCAAGAGTAAGTAATAATAATATAAAAATATAATAATATAATAATAATAATAATAACAACGCACACACTTAACATAACTCCGCACTAGGGAAATCATGTGTCGCGGGTGCCATGGACACACACGTAGACAACCACAAATTACACCCAAACTTACGAGAGAAATAAATGTAGACCATACAAATATTTCTCCTGGCCCGGGAATCGAATCTGGGACCTCAGCGTGGTAGTAATGGTAACCGTTCGGCCACGGAGGCAGTTAAAGTAAAAAGTAAGTCTGTTCTACTTCATCTATTGAAATAGATAAGTTTTAATTGAAATAATGTTCCGGGAATATATTTAGTTTCTTACGTTGCTTCAGATTTACTTGTCCCGATACTGGACTCCTACAAGGAATGTCACTGAACCCTATTTTGAGCTAATTTTATACTAATGAGCGAACTGTTTTCCTATTTTGTAAGATCTATTATTTTTTTAGTGCAATCAACAAGCAAAGTATAAAATCGTACACTCGTAACAGTAGAAACATGTCTTGGGATGCTTACTACACACTGAATGACATAGAAGCTTGGATGAGTGATATGGCTCAAGCATATTCTTCAGTAGCCACTGAAGTAGTCGGAGGCACATCATACGAAGGGAGACAAATCAAAGGTCTTAAGATTTCACGTGGTGGTAATAAAAAAGCAATATTTATAGAAGCTGGTGCTTGTTCAAGAGAATGGATTACAGTGGCAACAGCTTGTTACATTATTAATGAGCTACTAACAAGTGACGATAACGAAACTAAAGTAGCTGTTACAGAATTTGATTGGTATATCTTTCCTGTCACCAATCCCGATGGATATGTGTGGTCTCATGAATCAGTAAGTACTTTCATTCTTGCAATACAATCTAATCTGATTTGGTACCAACGTTTTAAGGCGAGCCTAGATTTTAGGAGATGAGGTAGAGGGGGGCCGCCCCTCATGTGTTCCACAATTTGCGCGCTGAAAATTTTATACAGATCCGACGTAGATAAGCGCCTGACGGCATCTGACAGGGCAGCGGGCGACACGATGTGTCGTTAAACCGCTGGGTAATTTTCAAGTTTTGGGATAAATGTGAATTTAATTACTACAGGGCTTCAGTTGAAAACCAAAATTTTGCAGGTTCTCTATAGTATCTAAAGAGAAATATCACCATATAACATTTATGCTCAAAGTTAGATTTTTTATTTTATTGTAGCCTGTTTCCAGGATTTTATATGATCAGATAGTACATCCTATCCTGTAACAAATTATTTCATTCTTTAGACAACGTGTGTTTTTATTAGATCGTTATTTAATAGTAAATACCTAATCGCGGCCTAACTTCCCCACAACATCTCACCAAACAAGACCTCGTCATAGCTGTAAAAAACACTGAAGATCTAGCATCAGCATAAAGAGTTTTGTACTCAAAATAGCTTATCACGAACGAACCAAAAATATAATATGCTTCGTTGATCATTTCAGTTCAGGTTGTGGAGGAAAAACAGACGGCCGATTGGTTCTGCTTTTGGCGTAAATCTGAATAGAAACTGGAACGGCAACTGGCTTGGTACTTATTTTTATTTGTATTATTTTTTAGAACAATAACTTCTAAACCAAATTTCAATCTCAAGGTAATAATTATATCACGGGTAACTCACAATTTACAGTTCATAATCATCGGTATCCACAGCCCGACTTCACCTTCTGCTGGGTTTAGACCTTCCTTGGTTTGTGCCACTACAACATTGCGTTAGTCTAACCCATCCACTTACTGCTCATAATAAATTTATAAGCCATTGTTTATTAAACCATTTCCTTCAAGCAACTTCGTGACTCATATTTGTGTTAGTAAATGGATTATTAAGTGAGTGCCCGTGACTTATGTAGGCACAGCCCCATGTCTTTCTACATAAGTTTTGTTTTAGTGACCCTCACTCAACCTCTTGGTTGTGCCGGAACGGCGTTATAACCTGGGGACCTGCTCATTCTGGTAATGATCCCAGATCAGTCCGTTTGCACGGACTTCTTCCGATTCTCAAAAGGCTAGTGCCTTAGGCACGCATCCTCCTTAATTGCCATATTCGTATCGGAGCTGTAGGCACGCTCACGCTGGCCCATGGAGGCGAAACGCTTAGAGGCTGTAACGGCTCGACCACCCCAGCACCAACCTGAATACGTTATTATACTGGACGCAGAGAGATTCATATGCGCCGCGGCTGTGATTTTGGTATTTATAGAATATTTTGAATGGCATCCCTTTGTTATAGTTGAAGGATCAAGCACCAATCCATCTGCCGATAATTACGCAGGTACAGCACCTTTCTCCGAATTAGAAACAAGAACTTTATCTGATTACATCAAATCGATCCGAAATATTGAGATGTACCTTGCTTTCCACTCCTATGGTCAGATTCTTATGATTCCATTTGGGAACACCACTCAACATCTGGCTAACTATCAGGACGCAGTAAGTATAGGTTGCAATATATAATACTTAGACTGGATTTTTAAATTTGATAGTGATAGAATCAATCGAATGAGGTAAGGTTTGTAAAATAGAAATAGAGGAACGTAATAGAATTGCCATTTAATTAAAGGTAAACATCGGAAGAAGAGCGATGGGTGCGCTGTCAGTGCGATATGGAACGCAATACGTAACGGGAAATACAGCTGAAGTTGTTCGTAAGTGATATTACTTATTACATTATGTCAAACTAGTAGTTTAACTATATACAAACGTAGCAGAGCGGTTTGTCAGCGTAAACGCCGCTGAATTAAAGGTATATTAAATGTACGGGACATTTCTATATAAGATTTGTTTATAGTGACCCTCCCTACCGATCCTTAGGATATATGAGACGGGACTATAACCTGAGCAAGCAAACCTACACAGGGACCTCATCAGTCAGGTCCTGACCTTAGATCAGTCAATTTACACAGACTTCGTCCGGTTCTCTACAGCTAGTGCCTTAGATGAACTGTCTCGGGTGTACGTACAGTACCCTCCCTATTTTCAAGATAGATACCGGAACTGTTCGCATGCTCACTTCCCGTTGTGTGTTGCACGACTAACGGTTGTCACCGCTAAGCCGTTATCTTAAAAATCCACTACCAAATCTCCACTTTAAAGGCGGTACAGCACGCTCACCTCCCGACGCCGAAGTGTCTCTTCAGTTCCCAAAGATCTACGCGGCTGGTAGGACCGGGGGATATCCAGCTCAAGATGTGCTAGCTCTCCGGGCTAATGCCGGAGATATCAGTTGCAGTGTCCTGTGACAATGTCCGGACATAGCTTCCGATTTAAAGGGCAACGCACGTACCCCGAGCGTCTCCTCGCCTTAGATCCTCGTCTAGACCGCTACTAAGACACATGCTACCGGGGCAGACAAACGTGTCCATCCCTACAGCTAACCACAAACCCGGCGAGTCTATACCATTGTCCAGATCCGCCAGAGACGCCCGTGAAGGTGTATCACTGGCGGAGATCTCGGAGGTCTTACCGAGGTGCCCGTAGTCTCCCCGGAATAGATCCAAATTAAGACATAACTAAGGGTACAGTAGGTAAACAACTGGGTGAAACTATTTTAAATTTCAGGAGGATATTTTACTCATTAATAAACACAAGCACACTTTTCAGGTTTGGCCAGTTTACACATTTAATGTTTAAAATTAAAAAATAACCTTCCTTTCAGACCTAGTTACAGGTACCAGTATAGATTGGGTGAAAGAGAATCTCAAAGTTCCTTTGGTCTATGGCTACGAGCTTCGTGACAAAGGCGAATATGCATTCCTGCTGCCTACGGATCAGATACTACCAAATAACCAAGAAGTTATGGATTCTGTTTTGGAGTTGATACATCAAGGAAAAAGATTCGGTTACTTTAATAGTGGAAATATTTTAAAATCGTCCATTTTAACGATGTCATTTTGTTTTATATTAACTAATATATTATGGTAGGTAAAATTGTTTATAATTATAAATAATAAGTTGTAGTGTTTGTAGAGAAATGCTTTCATCAAATAATTATCGCTAATTACAAATTTCATACGAAATATCGATAAAATAGAAAAAAAATCATACCGTGGCAAGAAACCTGTAATTAGTGATGATCATTTTGTAAATATTCATGAAAGCCTTAAAAATCTATAAACGTTTTCATGTTAAGGTATAATTATAAATCGTTAGTATTCAATAAATTCATTTGGAAAATTTTATTACGTCACTGTATCTTCAATTAACTGCCGTTCTGTCTTCAACGCTTGTTGATTTAATTGCACGTCTTTTTGCATTAACTGTGAATTACTGTGTCGTATCCATCTTAAACTTAAGATATTTCTTTTTAAACTACTTGTTTTGTGCATGTTAATAAAATAAAAATATTTGAATATATCGCTCTAACCGGTGATAACTCTGTGCACAAGCGGGAGTCATCAGAGAGAACGCTTGCACGTTTCAACTTAAAAAGGGTTTTTCAACAAGAACTTTGTTTTGTAAATCAAAATAAAACAATAAATTTAGATGACAATGATTGAATTTTTTATTGTATTAAAAAAAATAACTACTACTACTATTACTATCATATGCAGACCAAAAAAGCGCAAAATACGAAAAAAAAACTTTAAAATTTATTTCTGGTTTATTTATCATGCTTTGTCAAAAGTCACGGAACAAAAGTTATTGTTTATAATGTTAGTAATCTAGCCCTAGAACGTAAAATATTACTCTGTGTCAAATTTATATATTTTTTATTTATGAATGCATCGTTATGTATATACAAACTCGCATTTAATTTATATGTCAAGATCATACTCGTACTTCTACAAGATTTTCCAAGTAGTCATAGAAATGAGACTCCAGTGACTGTTATAAATTATATTATAAGATCTTTCACTACAAATCGAAAGCGGAACCACGTCTGTTCAAAGATGTTTTTCGTAATGGCGGCCGCCCGTCAGCGTTCCGTCGATTCGATGATGACAATATCGATTTATTTGTTCTTTGGATAAAACGAATTTTTATCGAAGCAAAATAAATTTTCTAACAAAATAAAATAACTTAATGTCATGATTCGCTAAGGGCGCAATTATTCGACACGAATTTTATCGCGCTCACCCCGTCCGCGTGTGTCAAACTGCCATGGCAAATTACGCTCTATTCGTTTAGCTTTTACGTTTTAATTTAAATGAGAGTTCCGGGCACGCGGGCTAGCCTGGCTTGAATTTGGTCTACGCGACGGCCCGCGCGACGATCGCGCGAAACCTTTCTTCTCGTGTAACTCGGCGCTTACACTTCCAAAACGAAATTTTAAATAATGGAGTTGCTAAACATGTTCGACCGTATTTTCGGTACGCCTATGCAGTAATTTCATTGTAGTATGTATAAAGATTATTATTATATTATACTAATATCTAAATTATAATATTAAGAATTCCATGTAATCTTTTCGACGATATGAATTGCCAAAGGCGTTCTTCTGTGTGTGGCTTACAAGATTAAAATGTATCAGATAGCTTCCAGCGATTAGACGATAAGCGAGTAACTAAGTAAATACTACTTTCGCGATTAAAACGAGCTCTATTGACGGCTGCTGTAAAACACCATGTGAAGAATCAGCCGCCGGCCATTAGAGTGTATGAGGGCGGTCACTGGAGTACGGATGAGTTCATGCAATATATGCAATTATTATTTTGTATTTATTTAATTATACTTTTATTTACGTACGTTCTGACACTCAACAAACAAATAACTTGTCTAATAATACCAATTAAAAAAAAAGTGAAGACAAAGTAAATTATGCCCAGTACGTCATTTAGTTAAGTAAATTAGACTATTTGCTCTTACGTCCCCGTAGTATACGTCCTCGTATGCAGGCTCTTCTCGGGCGATTATTTCATAAATTTAATGAGCTATTGTTGGAAGTAGATATTTTTGATTTGTGTAAACACAAATTTAAGTATACGGTTATGGAAACATTAGGTATAGCACTCCTACATAGATTGTAAAACTGTTTTTATTTATTTATATTTAAAAAGTAGCAGTAGAGTTCCTTACCTATTTCTACGGACAAACTATAATGTGAGGATTACTGCATTGCAGTTTAGAAGGGTAAGGGTGCTGGCAAAATTACAGGCACATGGGACTTGTCGACTTACGTCTCAGAGTGACGTGCGCAGTACCAGTGCCTATTAGATCTTTACGATTTATAGTTCTGAAAGGTACTGCAACTGATATGGATAGGCGTGTCGCTTGCCACCAGGCGCACGACTTGTTTGTCCTGTCACTTTAAGAGCTCTTATGCCAAAAAAGTTTTGACGTTGGCTCCGCCCAAATTTGTGAAACAAATATATGCCTGAAGTTCGCATGACATGCGACAGGAGATGTTGAATTTTGCGCATTAAAAGTACCTAATTCGTTTTAGCGGAATAACTCTAAAACTAAAGGGATTAAAAAGCTCCGTAGTGACACTTGTTGATCATGCATAAATATAATTAATTATCTAATTTTTGTCCTAATAACCTGTAGCATTTCAAGGGTAAATCGAAAAAATGTGAAAATTGGAGGTCATTTCGTGATTTTTATCTATCGAGGAAACTTTATTGTTTTATGTTTCTGATTAATGTCTATGCTTGAATATATCGTGTAGTTACTCATACAATATTTTATTTTTAACTTTAAAGTGGATATACCCCTCTAAAATGAAATCGAAGATTATGAATTTTTCCTCTGCTCCCTCTTAAATCAATACCGATAATTCTTCGTTTAAAAAATTTATATTTTTGTTATAATTTGTGGATGATGTAGCTGATTGTACTATTAGATATACGGTTATTCTCACTATGTATAACTTACCTTGTAAAATTGTTAGTCATCCTTCAATAATTAAAATAATAAATCCAAAAATAAAATAAACTTATAACACGGCATTAATAATTGTGCTTTTAAAAATCAAAAACAGAGTGGTTGTTGTTAAATAAGCATAATATTCGTGTCTAAAATGTATACAAAATATATTTTATAAGAATTAAAAATTAAATTACATGCGTAATTTAATTTCGGAAGACACTGGGAGATATAATTTAATAATATCAGGTCACGCGACTTAAATATGACAAATTTGCTTTGTCACAGAATGAACAATAAAAAATGATAAAGTTTTTTTACTCAGGGTGGATTTATTAGCCTTTTTGAACAAAGTACTTTTTTTATAATATCAAGCCATGAGACGAACGAGTCACGTGCCTGGTGGTAAGTGACATGCCACACTAGTCACAGTGCTTTGACTGAGACTTAAAATTGACAAGTCTCATGTAGTTGTAATGTCACTAGCACCTTTACCCTTCAATACCGGAATTTAGTAACCCTCATATTTGGTACATAACATAACAAGGTAGCATTACTTCCGTGGACGAACTTCTTCACGAGCTGTAGGGCTAGCACGACGGGGCGCAACTTGTGCGAGAGCGACATAAAGCGCGATATACTTCTATTTTCGCATAGAGATCTCGCAATTTATGTTATGTTGATCTAGCGCAAGTCGCGAGCTGTCATGCTAACCCTACAGTTCTACTTCTACCAATTACGCAAGTTCCATTACCACTTGATCCATGACCTTTATTATTTCATTTGTATTTACTTATTTTTGCCTAACTGAAAGCATACAAAGGTGAAGTCTAAGTAAATTGTATGTAATATAATATTCAAAGGCCTCGTGGGACAGAGGATGCTTAAATGCAAGGTCGGCGGCTCAGATACATAAAGGCAGTAAGTATCTATCAATGACTTAATTCAAATTTACGTACATTTGTGAATATTTAGTTGCAATACATCTCGCTAATGGCGAAGGAAAACTTTGTAATGAACCATGTCATAACTCTTGGTAAACTTTTTTTAAGCTGCCAAGTGACAGAAAGAACAAGTCGTGCGCCTGGTGATAAGCGACACTTGCGCCGTTACTCGGAGACATACTCGTAAGTTGAAAAGAATCATGTGGCAGTAATTTAACCAGCACCCTTGCCCTTTAAAATCGAAACGCAGTAATGCCTACGTTACTGCTTGGCGGCAGAAATCAGAAAGGTGGCAGTACTTTCCTGGATTCGTCCAGGAAACTACTAAACTCTGTCACAAGGAGTTCTATTGCAACTAAAGGTGTGAAGCTCCCATCCCCATCCTTCATTGTCAGTGTGGCGGAATATGGCCTAACAACCCTCCCTTTAGGGGAGATCGGTTCTCAGCAGTGTAACACAAAATGGATGGTCAATAATTGTGATCAAAATATATTCTACTTTCAAGGACTTGATTTGAAGTAGTCGATAACTAATACTAGTGTACCTGTCCTAGGACAAACCCTGATGACCACAAATTCAATAGCCAAAACTTACTCGAAAACTATATTCAAAAGAAAAATAAAAAAAATCATTCGGATGTAAATCGTGTATATTTGTTTTGTTTTTTTTTTTTAACAAACCAACATATATCTTTGCAACATTATCTTTGCAGGTTCCATGATTGTGGCTGTTATGGCTAATAGTAAAGCAATCCACTCTATTCTGAACTACAGTCACAAAAGTTATTAATTAAATACCTTATATTATTCTAATCTACGTTACAAATTGCAAAATATTTTTTTTTTATTAAATTAAATTAATTACTTAATTAAAATAAAATTTATAAAAAAAAGAAATATTTATAATTACTTAAGATTAAAATACTTTCGTTTTTCCAATATGTAACAATTGCAAAAACGTTAATTGTTTACATTACTAGTGTTTTATCGTATAACGTGGTCCAAGGAACCAACTCTAGTGGTACCTTATCTCGATCGCAGCTCTTTGAGGCACACGCTCGGGGCCACTCGGACTCATGCGCGGATTCCTTCAAATACAAGCTTAAGTTATAAAAGGTTGCGCCATAAAAGCTATAGAAAGGTTAGGTAATAATTTGACTCAAGCTTTTCATTGCTTCAATGAACTCACAGGAATATGACATTTGCTGAATGAGTGAAATATGTTTTTCGATAATACAACCAATACCAAAGATATTAAGAGCGACAAAATACGAAACGACGCACAGCGATGGAACGCGTGCGCTTCGGACAAGGGCCCAGGAGACGAAGCAGGGAGGGGTGTTGCGGTGCGTAAGTAAGTGACGCACTGCATATTCGGTGCGTTGAAATCATAGAGCGTTGCGACGATGCAAAGCGCCGGTAGTACCCGTATGGCATCGCTATAATGGTCAAATTTTGTGGGACGCTCCATCCTTTTTAGCGAAACATTCATTAGTTGTGACGTCACAAACACGTGTTGCCATTTGTAAATGATTTCAGCTTGCCCGTAATTATTTTATTTTCAACTAATTACAATTCTATTTTCTCATATCAGTATATTTATATTTTTTCTGTTAATGATAAGTATTTGATTTTCGTTTTTTTTTACCCTCGGTGGCTTAGTAAGTAGCAAGTAGTAGTAAGTACACTGGACGCTATCTGAGGAAGTTGTGGGCAGATTTTTTTCCTATAATACCAAGTGACGGGACGAAGAAGTCGTGCGCCTGATGGTAAGCGA